AGCTCAGTTTTCTTTCCTATAAACTGGGGATTATAACACCTACTTCATAGGATTGTTGTGAAGATTAAATGAGATGCACTAAGCAGATGTATTGTTATGATCACGTTCTAAGAACACACATTAGATTAGTTATTACCACTAACTTTATTATGAGGTGAGCTGTCCTCCTCTTTGGGGTTGAATTGAGGTCTCCAATCCCCACTCCCCCCATCCTCCTTTAGGCAGGAGGGGGAAGGGAGACACAAGTGTTCTCAGAAACACCTTGCTAAGGATGGAGGACTGAGTCCAAAGGCAGCACACAGGTCATGTGCTCCTGGCCCTCCTCTGGGCCCGCCTCCTCTAGCCCTCGCACCAGGTCCCTCAGGTTTCCTCGGAGCCCACCACTGCCTGCCCTTGACGGAAGCTGGGGCTCGTGCAGTGGGCGGAGAGTGAGTGGTCCCTCGAAGGCCGAGAGGCATCTTCAAGGACAGGAAACTGCAGACCTGAATCTTTCAGTCCCATTTTCCTGCAACCTGATTTCCCTGGGAATTACTCTGTTTCCTTCTTCTGTCTTTACAGTGGGCAGTGGCGGGCTTCCCACTGCAGGCGCCCCCCACCCCCACCCCTGGGACTTCTTCTGGAACGTCAGAGGAAAGTTGGCAGCCAAGTAAAGGCCACATTGAGCCCTAAAACCATGAGCCCTGAATCGGGCCCTGCTCACAAACCTTTCCTTCCTGAGCCCCTTCTCTTGCCTTGGATAACCCTGTGGAAAATGGTTTCACATGTTCCAGTGTCAGGAGACTGTGCTTTGACATTTAAGGAACAGGAAAGAAGCCATCACGGTGGGATTTCAGGCATCAGCTTCATTAGTTATAGGAGTGTACGTAAGTAAAGCTCCCCAAAGGCCCTGAAATCCTATCCCACGGTGGGGGAGGGGGGCTGACTCCAGGGAGAGGCAAGGGTCGGGGGTAGACTGAAGAATTACTTCCCCTCTTCTCCATGCCCACTCCTGGCACACAAGCCCCCTGCTTGCAAATGTTTACCAATAACCACCCTCCTCCTGCCCTCCGTTGCCTACGGTTTGACTGACAAGAGAGCAGAGGCGGCTATCAGATGGTAACTGAGGGCCTGTGGTCTCCCCCAGTCAGTGGCAGCATTAAGATTCAGAAACCAGGGACTTCCCTGGCGGTCCAGTGGTTAATACTCTGCGCTTCCACTGCAGGGGACCTGGGTTTGATCCCTGGCCTGGGGAACTAAGATCCTGCATGCCAGGTGGCACGGCCTAAATAAACAAACAAATAAATAAAATGACCGAATTACATATTAAAAAAAAAGATTCAGAAACCAGACCACAGGTTAGAAAGATCAGGTCTTTACTGCAAAATCATTCAAAAATCACACGCAGCAGTTCCTTCGGTACATTGCAAAGCACTTCTCAGGGCCAAGGCCCCTCACTAGAAACAGTTTATTGCATAAAATGAAATTTTAAAAATAGTGTGGGCACTACCGAGGTTCACATCAGCTTCCCATTGGAGGTGAGGGTGTTAAAAGTCAACTCATCTGAAAGCATCAGCAGCTTTTTGGTATGGGGGAGGGTCAGCTCTAATGCTACTGATCTCAGGGAGGGCGGGGAGCGGGGCGTGCCAGGCCCCGCCAGACCAAAGTGAGCTCCCCCAGGGCCTCCTGCTGCCTCTTAGGGACCTTCCGGAATACAGGATATACTCACAGGCCCGAGGAAACAGGGCTGGGCTCAGGCGGCGCTGCCCACCCCAGGCCCACTCAGCGATCTGGACCAATTACGGCTCTGATCAGGCTGTGTCTGTGGTGGAGCATTAATGCTGGCTATGCGGGGTGGGGATGGGGGTAAGGATCCACTTTCTTTGGTGCGCTGGGCACAGGTGTGCACCATCTTCCGTGATGGGGACAGAGCAGCTGTGTGACAGCCCCCTCCCCCATCCGCCTGCCACCTCCTCGATTCTATTGCACAATTTATCCAGCTCCCCAGGGCCGGGCAGGTGACTCAGCAGTCAGATCAGCCCAAGGGAGAGGTGGGAGTAGGTTCGTATCTTGACAGCGAAGGCGGATCTCCACCCGAGGCCCCCAATCCGAGCTGAGTGCAGACAGGATGGCCGGAAGACCCCAGGGCTGAGGATCCAGGAGAGGTGGGGGGAGGCAACAGAGAAATCATGCCCAGATTTCACCCCCCAACCCCAAGGGTCTAAATATCACTTTGAAAACAATTCCAGGCTCCACCCCAAGACCCCTTCAAAAGGCAGTCGTGCTCCAGTGAAATTTTCCAGTCTCTCGGCAGTGCCCCTCCTGGGCCGGTCCAGCACTCTGTGCACTCTCATGGCTTTGTAAACTGAGGCTGAGCATCCTTCCACGGGGGTGGCTTCTCCTGCGTGTCCCTGCGCATCTCAGCAGCAGGGCTGACACTCTTCGTGGAAGGACGAGGGTTCTGAGGGTTCCACAGTGGGGACCCAGCCTACCTCTGTCCTGGTGGGGGTCAGTCAGGCGGGGATGCATTCCTGCGTCTGCAGCGGTCCCCGGCCCGTCTGGCTGCTTGTCGGTGGTAGGAGTGAGGAGGGTAGGGGGCTGAGGGATGGGCTAGATGACGACCCTTCCCTGGACCGAGGAAGGCTCAAAGTGCTGACAGTGCTGGTTCCGAGTCACTCCCCTCCTCCTGCGGGACCAATATCCCAGGCTATAGGAGAGCCAGGGGCTCTGACACGGAGGAAGTGAAGGGCTTTTCAGGTGAGGAGGGGGCGGGGAGCAGAGAGGAGAGGGCGAGGAAACACATGGTCCTCAGGACTGAGCCTGCCTGGCCCCCCGGGGGTTTGGCACGTTGTACAGGAGCTGTCGGCAGCGAGCGCTCGGTAAGGGGGAAGGAAAGGCACCCGCCAGCTGGCAGGCTCTGTCCTAGGGGGCCTGTCCACCCAGCCGTCACCCGCCTACAGGCCTGGCCTGAGCGGTTCCTGCACATTTGCTCAGGGTGAGAGTGGCTGGATTTCTTGCGTGACTTGTGGAGGGTCAAGAATAAAAAAATATTTTCTGTTGAAATATGAAGGGAAAAAACCCACCTTAAAAAAACTAGGCCTTTTAATCAGGAATGTGGAATTGAAAATGCTTCCCAAGTCTTATTTCCACAGTGTTTGAACAGCCCTAATGGAGATGGTGCGTCAGTGAGGCGATCCAGGCCAATTAGTGCAAAGCCCCCTCTCCTCCCGCATCCTCGGACAGGGGCATTTGCTGGTGTCCTGGCCGCCAGATGGGTGGGGGGCAGGAGGTGTCATCAAGAGCTCCCAAGGCTCCCTCTCATAGGCTCATGCTCTGGTCACATCTGAGAGTCTTCCTGACAAGGGAGACATCTGTGACACCTTGAAAGTGTGACCCAGGCTGATGGCCAACCCAGCTGGGATGGCTGAGCCCCGGGTCCCGGGTGGGGACAGGAAATGGGGTTAGGCGAGAGTGCTCTGTTGCTGGTACTTGAGCCGGCGGGCACAGCGGGGGCAGCCCTTCTTCATCACGGCCTGACAGCTCTGATGGAAGACGGTCTTGCATTCGCCACACCTGGGAGAGAGCAGCAAGCACTGCTGGGACCGACGGGCCTCCCGGGGCTCGAGGCTGGTCAGTGCTCCTGACGGGGGCCTGCCACCCACGGCACACGGCGCTGCCCCTCCGTTCCGGGACAAAAGGTTCTTGCCACAGTGCTTACTAAGCCCCGCAATGCACACTGATACTCTCTATTCTATTTCCCTTTTATAAATACTGCTGAGACTCACAAAACGATTTCTTGCCTATGTTTCAAACACTCTGCAGTTTAAAAAACTCAGCCCCACGTCTGTTCAGAGGTCAAATGCGGGTCCGGGGACACCTACTGAAAATGAATGAATGCTCCCACCCGTTCAGCTTTCCACTCCCACATGGACTGGAATGGAGGTTTGGTGGATGAATTTTTCCATTTAGAGGCTTCTGATAATGAGCAATAACTGGGGACAAGAACAATTGTTATGGGGGCAGAGGCAGTGGCAGGTACCACCCACCAGGTGCCCGCTTTATGCCCGGCCTGTGCCAACACTCCAGGCCAGAAACTCATCCAGTTCCTCCTCCACCTGCTCACAGAGGACGAAACTGAGGTCCTCCCACCGCAACTCAAAGAGGCAGCAGCCACCTCTTCTCCAGAAACATGGATGGCTCGGTGGAGGCAGGGAGTCCTGTGAGGGCTTGTCTTGTCCCCCTCCCTGGGTACCGGGCCTGCCGCCCGGGGACTCCGTGGGGCCGGGTGGGAATGGGGGTGGGGCGGGGTGGCTGGCTGAGGGTCCGCATACCTGACTGTGGTGTCAAACTCAAAGGGGAAGATGATGTCGTGGTGGTGGCAGATCTGGCAGATGAAGCCGCGCTGGGTGCACAGGTCGCAGTGGTACACGTGCTGGGAGGCAAACTCGATCAGGGACTTGAGGAATCCTTCATACAGCCCGTCCGCGATCTGTGGAGGGCAAGCGTGGGCCACCAGGCCTTTTAAGCAGCTGTGCTGAGCCTGAGGCTGCCTGCAAGACGTGATCTGCTGCTGCTCCTGGCACCCTGCCTGAAGAACTCCTACCCCAAGAGGAGTTTCCTTCCACTTGGGCAAGAAAACCTCCCGGAATCAGGCCGAGCACGTGCAGCCCTTGCGCGCGGAGGAATCCACTGTACCCTCCCTTGAGGAAAGGCACGTCCCAAACCCTCACCCCTCCCTCTGCCCTCCCTGCCGGGGAGGAGTCCAGACGCAGGGAAGGGGCTGAGCCCTGTGAGCCTGGGCTTTGCTGCAGTGCCTGCTGGTCCCAGGGGCGCTGGGGGCTCAGCCACTGCCCAGGAAGCGTGGATAGCGGGACACCCGTTCCGAGCTACCAAAGAGCTGAAGACGGCTGTCTTGCCTCAGTAAACTGCAGGCACTCTCCCCGCACCCCATCATCTCCCTTTCTGATTTCTCCAGGAATAAGGTCCCTCTAGAGAGGTCTAGGGGGTGGCATTCTCACCTGCTGGAGGTCTGCGACACTGTACTTGTGAGGAGACTCCAAGAGATAATTCCTGTGGTTGAGTCTTCAAAGAAAACACAAGAGATTCCTTAGAAGGAAGCCGGGCCAACCTGGGTTTGGTTTCATTCCCTCAGCGCTGCTGACCAGGCATAAACAGCTCCCGCCTGGGCGGAGCAGTCAGCCGCCTGGGCTTGGGACCTGGGCTTCCAGGTGAAAAGCTGTTGGGACCTTGGGTAAGTTACTTAACCTCTCTGAACCTTAGGTTTCCTCACCTGAGAAAGAGCGCTGTTCTGAGGATGAAATAATTTATTTAAAGCATCCGGTACAGTGCCTCGTACATAGTAAACAAGGAATAATCGTTAACCACAGTTGATAACACTGCACTGCATAATTGAAATTTGCTAAGAGTAGAACTCAAATGTTCTCTGTCTCTGTCTCTCTCTCAGACACACACACACACACACACACACCATGTATATATATATAAAAATATATAAAATATGTGAGGATGATGGATATGCTAATTAACCAGATGGGACGAATCCTTTCACAATGTAATCATATGTCAAATCATCACAACATACACTTTAAATGTCTTACAATTTTGTCAAGTATACTCAATAAAGCCGCAAAAATTTTAATTTGAAGATATAAAAAAATAAACATCTATTTAAAAACTAATAATGATGAGGATGATGAGGAAAGCTAACGCTTGGTACCGGGAACGGGACTAAGCTTTATATATATTAACTCACTTAATTTTCACAAGACTCCTGTGAGGTTGACACTATTATAACCCCCATTTTGCAAGAGGAAATGGAGGCCCAGAGAGGTTAAATAACTTGCCTGTGGTCACACAGCTAGTAAGTGGCGGAGCTGGAGTCTGAACAAATGCAGGAGTCTGGCTCCAGAGCCTGCATCCTTTCCACTCAGTGAATGCCTGTAGGTGTTAACTGTTGTCATTATTGCCACTATTACATACCAGGGACAGGGCTGGGGACAGAAATGCACAGGACGTGGCCTCTGCCTTCCTGTAGCCCCTGGTCTAGTGGAGGGACAGACATTTAAGCATCTGGTTTCAGTGCCATGGGAGAGGAGCTGAGACACGTCCTGAGTGCAGCAGATCCCATTTCAGAGATGGGGGAGGGCGGGGGGTGGGGGAGGCAGAGGACGAGAGCTCAGCTGCCAACCCAGCTCTAGTTTCCACCTCACCAATGGCACAGATCCCAAGGGTCACATCCTGAGAGATGGAGAGGAAACACCTGCAGAAATTCGCCTGGTACAAAAACTTGTCTAGCCTTGCTGTGTGTCTGTGTCGGTACTGGGGTTGGGGGGAGAATTCTCCCAGTCTGAGGAAGCGTGGGAACCTGCCCCAGGATGCTCTGGACACCTGGAGGCGGGAAGGTGCCAGGCCCTGCGGCATCTGGAGTGGGTGCTTGCCTTTGCCCACCCCGTGGCCTCAGCTGTGGTCCAGGGGGGACCCCACCCGGGGCCGAGATGGCAAGTTCCACCAGGCAGGCAGGCAGGCCAGGCTGTGCTGCGTGGGGTGAGGATGCGGCCACTCAGCTCAACGTGCTGGTCTCCCCAGTAAACTTCCAGCTTTCTGGGAACAGGACGCTGCCGTTTATCACCAGGAAAATGCAGGCGGTGCGGGGTGCACAGGCTGCTGCTGCGCCGGCAGGAAGGGTGGGGATGATTTGGATGGAGAGTCCCCTGCCCACAGTCGTGGAAGCCCAGGGGGCCAGCCAGGCCCAGGGCCTTCCCTACGAGCCACCTATCCTGGGTCTGTCATACCCTCAAGTGAGGCCGTACAACTGTTGGGGGAGATGAGGTCAGGGAGGAGACCCTTTGCCAGGGCAGCCCCTTGAGAGAAAGGGGATCCCACATCCAAAACCTGCCTGTTTCTCCTCAGCCCTTCCCGTCCTCTCACCCTTCACTCTGGCTGACTCAGTCCAGGCCTCCTCACCTCCTGGGCCAATTCCTACACCAGCACCCACGCTCCACTGCTGCTAAACTGGTCTTTCCTAAACTCCTGACTGAACGTGACCATCCCTTGCTCAAAACCCCTCAACAGCTCCCCAAGGCCAGCAGCATAAAATCCAGACGCCTTTGCTGTGGCACAGGGGACCTTCGAGGTCTGGCCCCTGACCCACCACCTGGCTGCCCTGAGTCCCCCGAAGGCCCTGGCGAGCCGTGCTCCTGTCCCGCCTCCATGCCGTGGGTTCCCTTAGCCAGGAAAGCGGGCCCTCCCTTCTGCTTTCTTCTCTGCTTCTTTTGCTGAACCCCAGTTCACTACACACGTGATGCCGTTTGTGTGGTGGCAACTCTGTTCTCCTGTGTGAGGACCAAGAGGGGTCTGGAGCATCTAACAGAACTGATGGTGGCCAGACTAGAGAAGGGGGATCCCAACTTTCTGCTTGACTCTCTTTCATACTATTTGAATACTATCTTTGTAAAGAAGAAAAAGAAAAGCACTTTTTCTTTTTAAAAGAACAAAAGAAATGAACTTCACAAACCCTCAACTGATGCCACCTCCTCCGGGAGCTCCCCTGGCCCTTCCTTCCTTCTTCATGGCACACGCCGCCCTGACCCAGGGCCATTTGTCCACCTGTCCCTGTCCCACCCCAGACACTGATCCCCTCATGTGGCCCTCACCACAACTCTGGGAAGCCACGTCAACACAGGGATCACTGGCCCATTTTACAGACAAGAAAGCTGGAGCTCAGAGAAGTGAAGCAACTTCCCTGAGTCACACAGTGGATCTGGGGCCAGGCGGAGGCTGCGCCTGGACTCTTTCCCCCGCCCCACGCTGCTTCTGAAATGGGACTTCCACAGGCCTGGCCCTGGGCACCGTGTGCAGCGCTGCCGCCCAAGGATGGGAACAGCAGGGCCACAGAGAAAGAGGCAGGACTGTCCCCAGTGCCCAGGCAGGGCAGCCCGGACAGGCCAGTAAGGCTGCTGACCAAACAATCTCAGCACGGCAGGGATGGGTGAATGAGGCCGGCACCCAGGACCCACCCTACGGGCACCTGGTCTTCTCAGTCTGCAGAGAACCCTGGACCGGGGAGGGTGACAGGGTCCCACTTGACCTGGACAGAGGGGCAGGAGGGCAGACTCTGGAGCCCTGGCTCCTGGAATCTCAGGAAGGATGGGAGTGAGTAGGGACCCAGGCACTCAGCTGATTATGGAGACAGAAAGAGCCTTCCCAGAAGCAGGCTTTCAGGTCCCTCACGGTGGCCCCCAAAGGGCTTTCTGTCCTTCTGGGCCCTGTGGAGGAGACCAGGGCTCAGCCGGCTGCTCTGGGAGCCTGGGAGGGGCCAGCCTCTGCTCTCTGCCTAGGAGAGGGGCTCCCCGCAGCAGTCTCTCCCTGCGCCGCCCCGACGGGCACCAGGACTGAGCAGGGAGCCCGTCAGACAGGCGGTCTCTGGGCCAGCGCTGTCGGGAGGGGTGGCTGCAGGGGGAAAGTGGAGGGACTTGTGAGCCGCTCCAAGACCTCAGAAACCCAGCGGCGAAGCCCAACTGGGCAGCCGGCAGCAGCTCATCGCCTGAGCTCTGCCCTCCTAGGGCCCCACAGAAGGTGTCACCCCTCAGCCCCGACTGAGCACTGAATGTCCCCTTCAGGCCCTGGGTACCAAGAAGCTTCTTGAAGGGCATCTTAAGGGTCCCACACAACCCTGTCCTCTTGCGAGGATTTGGGGACGGATGCTGCCACAGCAGCAAAGCCAAGCCGCATGGGGTGAACGGCTGGCGGCAACCAGAGGAGCCAGGGCGACACAGCCCTTCTCACCTCTCCAGCCTCCTCTCACCACATCCCTACTTCCCTCCTCGCCCCCCAAAAGTTCTGCCTTCCACGCATGGGGCCTTCATTCACAGCCTGAGCACACCACTCCTTCTATCTGGAACAGTCTTTCCTGCGTCTCCTCGCTTTCCCACTCGTTTGGCAGGTCTCACCTTGGATGTCAGTTCCTCCAGGGAGCCTTCCCCACTCCGCCCTCCTCCAGTCTGGGTTAGATCCCCCGCCCCTCCAGTAGGACTTCCAGGGCGTCCGACTCCCTCCTCCAGCCCTCACTCAGAAGTAAGGTGCTGCCTTACTCACCTGCCATGCAGGACCCAGGTCCACCTTGCTCAGCACTGGGGCCCATGCCCCAAGCCCAGTGATGGACCCTGAGCACGTTCTCAGTAAATATTTGTCAAACGAATGAATGAACAAATACAAGCACAAATAAAAGCCACTCCTAAATGCAAAGGGAAAGCGTTCTCCACCCAGCCCCGGCATTTCTTCCGAGAAGCTGCTTTTGCACTGACCCCGTGTGTATGTGTATTTGTGTGTGTGTGTGTGTGCGTGCGTGTGTGCGTGCGTGTGTATGTGCATTTGTGTGTGTGCATGTGTGCGTGCGTGCGTGTGCGTATTTGTGTGCGTGCATATGTGCATTTGTGTGTGTGCGTGTGTATGTGCATGTGTGCGCGCGCGTATTTGTGTGTGTGCGTGCGTGTGCGCATCCATGCACGCCCAGGGTGCTCACCTCTTGCTCAACTCCTTCAGGGCTCCGCTTCGGCACAGGCCCAGGTAATCCCCCAGGAGCTTCAGCTGCTCCCGGCTCCTACCGATGAGGTGCATCCGCTCTACGTGCTCGTACAGAGACGCGTTCACCAGCTGCAGGTTGATGAGGGGCTGGGCCCGGATCCGCGTCAGGAACTTCAGGGCCTGCCTGCAGACCTGGGGACACCACCAGGCAGCGAGGGTGAGATAGGAGGGCCATCTGGTGAGCACCTGAGGGCCAGGCACTGTGTTACCTACTCACTCGCTCACGCCTCCCACCACCTGCCGAGGGAAGTGGTACCATCTTCATTTTACGGATGAGGAAACTGAGGTTCAGAGAGAGGAAGTGACTTGGCCAAGGTCCACAGCTCGCACAAGTCATGATGTGAACCCAGTTTATCTGACTTCCAAACCCACTCTTCCCCCTTGACACCAGCTGCTGCCCCTCCTGACGGTGCTGGGACGGAGGAGGGGCTGCTCCGGTCAACACGCCTCTCCTCCTGGGCCTCACAGATCCTTCCCACTATTTCCTGTCGTCCCTGCCCCCACCTTCCTGCCGAAAGGAAACAGGCACTACCCCGGGCCGACTCAGGAACCAGGTGACGGGTGTGAGTCAGGCTCCAACCACAGTAAGCTACGGATCAGACACAGCTTAACTAGAGGTTTCCTGAGCTCCCTCCACCCCTGCCAGCAGCACCAACCAGGGCCCCCCAAGGCTCCATGTGGATTTGAGTGATCAATCTGGGCCTCTCCCACGTGATAGGACTTTGAAGGTTCTACCCTCAGCCCTGACCCTGATGCCAAAGCCAACTACTGAGCACCTACTATCTGCCAGACGCTGGGCTAAGGACCTCGACCACATCCTCACAACAACCCAGAAGGGAAGGTGTCATCATCCCCATTTTACACATGAGGAAACTGAGACTCAGAGAAGCTAGAGTGGCTTACCCAAGCCACCGGAAGAAAGCAGAGCCCAGGTCTAAACCGAGGTGTTGTCTCTGCACACTTGGCTGCCTCACGTGCTGAAGAGGAGCCCCTCTCCCCTGCAGTCTCCTCCTTGCCGTGATAAGGATGGAGGAGCTGAGATGTTCTCCACCGTCAACCACCCTGCAGTGCGCAGGAGTCGGGCTTTGGCTCCTGGTTCGCCCCTTCCCAGCTGTATGACCTTATGAAACTTACCTAACCTCTCTGTGACTCAGTTTCCTCATCTGTAAAATGGGGAAAATAAAAGCACCTAGCGCATGGGATAATTTTGAGCTTAGATGAAAAGAAAATCCATGTAAGCGTATCCTCTGTAAAGGGGAGCTGCCATCAGACTCTGTGAGTGCCTGTGGGTCCCGGGGTCTGTCCCCTGGCTCAGGGGGACGTAACAGGGCCCTCAGGAGACCGTTAGGCTGGGGGCTGCTCCACCAGCTTCACCAGCATCTCTCGCCTCCCGCAGCAGCTGACAACTCCATCTTTTCCCATTTCCCAGAGCCCTGAGGAACCAGCCCCCAGCCAATAGGCAGCCCACTGGCAAAAGCCTGGTGAGTCCGTGACTCGGGTCAAACTGCTGCTCCCCAGCCCTTCCCACGACTCAGCCCCAGGCTTCTGGCGAGGCTCAGATGAAATACCACGCAGGAATGTGCGCTGAAAACTGCCAAGTTCTGCCGACAGGCATGGGCTTCGAGCTCCCCAGGGACTGTCCCTCCCCCGTGGGTGTGGAGGAGACAGACAAAGAGAGAAGCCCCAGGCCTGGGCTGACATCCTGCCAAGTAGTGCCAGCCGGACCTTGCACAAGTGGGTCAGCCAGAGTGGTAACAGTGGACAAAGGGCCCTTAACCCGCCGATCAGCCACTTTCTAGTGTGAATTTTCATGTCCTTCCCAGGCCCGGGATCTTTGAGAGAGCTGGATATTTCCTGACCTCAGGCATGCCAAGGGAAGTGTTAGAATTCTCCAGTTGGAAAAAGGAAGTGGTACCAAAATTACAGCAGTGAAAAGAAGGTGGCTCAACAGAGGCCCCTGGGTGTTGTAAGCAGGGAGGGTGTTTTATGGGCAGAGGGTTCTTTGCATCTGCGGTGATCTTGAGGCTTAGTTTTCTCCATGTAGTTAGTTAAATACTTAACATTGAGGGCAGGGGTGGGGATGAGGTAACCAATAAAAAAGCCAAAGTGAAGCTAATGTCTTTGGAAGGTTCTCACCCCCAGCGGGGTGGGGGTCAGGGTGGTACGGGCTCTGAGAACCATGTTCCCTGGCCTCTGATGGGGACATGTGAAGACACCTCCACATAATGAGACAGCACGGCCGGCAGGCCTGGGTCTTGAGAGAAGCACCCAACCTCTTCCCGGTGTTTCTGTGTCTTGTCTTAGCAGAAATCTGTGCCTTTGGAAGAAAGCCAAGTTTGCGCCCCTTGAGGCAGACCCTCAAGCAAATTAGGGGCAGAAGGTGAGGCCTCAGGGCGCTAATGTAAGGCACCAGCTAAGTGACTGGTGGGTACTGTCTCTTTTGGTCCTCACACAGCCCGGGGACAGACGCTGTTATTAACCCCCCTTTACAGACGAGGGAAGTGAAGTTAAATAGTCTGCTCGTGGCAGCACAGCTGCGTAAGCGGGTGAGCTCAGCTGAAGAGGAAAATCTGAGAGATCAGAGAATGCATCTTATGCGGAAGCATTTGGTGAACACAGAAAAGTACCCAAGATGTAATACTAACTAAACAAAGCACGTTATAAAGCAGTATGAGTCCAGCATGAGCCCAAACTTTACAAAAAGTAGATGCAGGAGCTTGTAATCTTGGGGGTGGGGAAGAAAGGCTAAACAACTGAATAAAGATGATTTTGAACGGTGAAAAAAAAAAGTAGATGTAAATGTAAAAAACAAAAATGCATGGAAAAATGCTCCCAGGGAAAGTGCAGCCAGCTGGCTAGCCCACCCATCCATCCACCCATCCACCCACCCACCCATCCACCCACCCATCCATCCACCCACCCACCCACCCACCCATCCACCCACCCATCCACATCTACCCACCGATCTACCCATCCATCCATGCACGCATCTACCCACCTAACCCATCCACCCAACCATCTATATCTAATCTATCCTATCTGTCATTTCCATCTATGTATCTAGTTATTGGTGCTTTAAACAGTTTTATCTGTAACCATGGGGAGCTGCAGCAAACCATCCTCAGATTCCCACCTGAGGACCAAGGTAGGCACTGACAGAGCTGTGTCCAGGGGCTGGAGACCAGCACCCAGTTACTTTCTTGGTCAACTCCCCCACATCATGGGGCCTGAACTAGTGACCCGGGCTTCCCTAGAGCCAAACTCCCCCAAACATACGAACAGCAGCCACAGAGAGGAGCGACCCCCGCTCTGTCGCTCGGCAGCCCCGCGCGGCCGCGGCAGGCTGGGCTGCAGACTCACCGGGCGCTTGGTGAGGTCCCAGTTGTGGATGATCCTGGCCGGGATCACTGAGGCATCGTCTTGATGGCAGATGTCACAGTAGTAGAGGCCAGAGAAGGCACAGAGCTTGGGCCGTACAAATGAGAAGCCGATCTGCCGGGAGCAGCCTGGGGAGAAGAACAGGGAGAGGGTGAGCAGCGGTGGGGACGGAGTCAGCTCCTGAGTGACCCGGAAGCGGCCAAGGCAGAAAGGGCCCGCTATCTAAGGAAAGTATCCATAGAAAGATTAAAAAGGAGAGTACGAAGATGAAAACCACCACCGCTCCTATGCCCACCAGTCAGAACCAACCCTATTAATTAATCTTTACGACAAAACACTGTTAAGGATTATCAGCGGCATTTCACAGCTGAAGAAGCTGATGCACAGAGGTCAGGAAACCTGCCCAGTCACACAACGATGGAGTGGCACAGCGGGAGTCAGATTTGGGTGGGGCTGGTGTAGAGCCCTCATTCTCTTATTCCCAGCTGCCTCTCTTCACTGCTTCCACAACAGTGCCAGCCTCCTCTAGGTCCACTCCTCCATGGCGGCCCAGAAATGGAAGCCACGGAGTCAGGGTCTCGCCAAGCAGGGCGGGAGCTGGGGACATGGGGCTGGCCACAGGGAGTGGGTGGGGAAGCCAGCCAGAGGCGGGGCTGTCTGGACATGGCCTGGGGCCAGCTGGAAGCCACAGCTGCCTGATACCTCGGGACAGTGGTTCAGGGCCAGCTTCAGTCCCTCTGCTGGAGGACCCTCCACAGGGGGGCGGGGGAAGGTGGGGGGACCAGGAGTGGGGTGTACCCAGGGCACAACAAAGGCCTGGCTCGAATCCTGACACAGGCCCTGCCTCCTACAGGGCCAGGGAAAGAGTCCCTTCCACCTCCCGGGGACTAGAAGGACTGGTTCTTCTGCATGCTAGCTGTCTCATCCTGACCGAAGTTTTGCAAGGTTCCAATTCCCTACTACTTGCTCTTCTGTGGGGTTATTACAAAGTTTAAATGGAGTTTTGAAAGCGCCCTGTAAACTATGAAATACAAGCCAGATGTCAGAGGTTGACGTCTGCCCGGCCACCGAGCTGCGCTCGCAGGCAGAGAGGAGGCCCGAGCTCCCCAGTTTCAGTTTGGCCGGCAGGCTGGCAGGCGGCAGGCGTGGGGAGAGCCACCCACCAGCACCCACGTCCCCAGCGAGGGAGCCCTCCTCCCAGCCCCGGAGGCCTGGCCTCCTCCCTGAGACTGGCGCCCACGTGCTGAAGGGCAAAGTGTGAGTGCTAGGGTCTGGCTGGTGGGGGGCGAGGGGTGAGCAGCAGCTTGAAGATATTTTCTGCGGGAAGCTCTGCTCTGCTTAGCTACTCCATCCTCCAGGGGCACCAGCTGCAGACCACTCCTCTCTAGATGCCTGAAGCAGGCTTTTGCCTCCCGTCCCACAGGCTCCTCACACTTCACCCGGAGGGCCCAGGGTGATGGATGTGGGTGTCTGGGTTGGGGAGAAGAGCTAGAAATGGAACGTGAGCAGCAGAAGATCACGAAGCCTTGAAAGCAAGGGAGCGGAGAGGCCCTGTGAGGGCCTGGAAAAGAGCACAGGTTCTGGGACCATCAGGTCCTCTGCGGGCTCCACCATCACTCGCTGTGTGAGCGTGGGACAGGTACTTACCAGCCCTGTGACCCAGTTTCCTCAGTTACAAATAGAGACAAACCCCCACAGGGTTGTTGTGAGGATTAAACAAGGTTATCCAAATAAAGCCTCTGGCCCAGGGCCCAGCACAGGATTTGACGATGCTAATGACAGAGCAGACGTGCTGACGTAGAAGAATACGCATAATATACTCCTAAGCAGAAAAAAGCCAAGTTGCAGAACAATAGTTATAGCTGCGCCGTCTAAAACGGTGGCCACGAGCCACAGGGGCCCATTTACGTTTAAATATATTTACATTAAAGCAAATTGAAAATTCAGTTCCTTCCACACTAGGAAGCCACATTTTAAGTACTCAGTAGGCACATGTGGCTTGTAGCAACCGTACTGGACAGCACAGATCTAGAACATTTTCATCATCACAGAAAGTTCTGTTGGACAGCTCTGAGTAATACGAGCCCATCTTTGTAATTTAAAAAAAAAAACTGTCCACTTGCAAAAGCATGCAAAAATGTTTTGGAAGGGTACCACGCCCCTGCTCCAAAAGAATACAATGTGATCATGGAACGGCCTCATTTGCTACAACTTCCCCGGGGCAGGATGGGGGCACTCGTGGGGAGCAGGAAGGGGTGCAGAGCCTAGAGTGGGAACCCCACCGCGGGCAGAGCGAGGCTAGCAGGCTGGGGGCAGCAGGACAGCGAGTCGGCACCTGCACAGAAGCAGCCCTGGGAGTCGAGGCCTTTCTCCGTGGGGATGGCCACCAGGTACTGCAGCAGGAAGCCGTTCTCCCGCGTGGCGAACTTCAGCACCTCCTGACAGTTTTCATCCAGACTCCCACCGAGTGTCACCGCCTCCTCAGCTGTCTCCAGGTAGGACGCCAGGACCTTGCGCACCAGGTCCCTCCACAGGGCGGCCTCCTCAGCGTTCCCGGCCTGCAGCTTCAGGACGGCCTTGGCCGTGATGATTTTGAAGAAGGATGGGCCCCCAAGGCTCGTGTCCGGCAGGATATCTCGGATGGTCTCGACTCCATGGCTGTCACTTAACATCTTCTCATTGTTTCTCACGCGGAAGCACTTCAGAGACTCCAAGGACAGGGAGAAGATACAGGGCATCCAGGTCCGGTCTGTGTACAGGTACAGAAGGGATTCCTTAATAGCGTCTGGCTCGGGAACCTGGGAAGAAGACCAGTCAAACTGCGGGCCCTGGGGGGTTTCAGGCTCCGAGAGCAGGTCCGAGTGGGAGGGGCGGCCACCCTGGGGGGCCTCTGGAGGGTCCTCGGGCTGGTCTGGGTACTGGATGGTCACCCACTCCTCCTCTTGCTGGGGCCGCCGGCACTTCTGCAGCGCCTCGCGCACACGGTCCAGCCAGTCCTCGGCTTCATCGCGGCATGAGGAGCGCAGGGTCAGCTTCTTGCCCGAGAAGACCAGCTCGAAGCGGCCGTCGCTGTGGGCCGGGCCCACGGACTCACAGCGCAGCAGAGAGCAGTTCTCCACGCAGGTGCGCTCCTCGCCGCTCAGGTAGAGGCGCAACTCCAGCGGGGAGAGCTCGCAGAAGAGTTCCTTCCAGATGCCCATGGCCCCCCGCCGCTCCACCGTGCCCAGCTTCAGAAGCCCCCGGAATGGGTTAGACAGCCCTGGAGGCAGAAAGAGGTGCTTTAGACGACGGGCCTGACCCTTCACCACCCAGGAGAACGTCCGGGGCCTGAGTCCTGTCCTGCGTGCAGACGACGTGACCACCAGGAGAACACAGGCCCACCATGGGCCGGATGGGAACACTTTTTGAGAGCCTCCATTGCATCCTCACCCCAGCTGTTGACCTTGTTCTTGAATTTCACCGAGAGAATAAAAGCGCTCAATCACCTCCACATGCCCCCCACTACCCCTCTCCCTTCCAGCATCTGCACCCACACTCTGACTGCCCCCGTCGCCAGGGATGAGCTGACTACGCTTATGTCTGAGGCCAACCCTCCCATTTGTGCATCTGTGCAGGGGGTCCCACCGCCCCCCACATACTCAAGGACAAGGACGTCCCTCCAGCAATCCTCCCTCCCTCTCCTGCGCTGCCGTTTCCTCCCTTCTCTACTGGATCATTCCCACCAGCCCACAAACACGCTGTTATTTCTCCCAGCTTTAAAAATAACCTCTTGACTCCACTCGCATCTCTAATTACCACCCTGTGTCTCTGTCCCCTTTTCAGAAACCTCCCTGGGGAGGTGTGGGAACTGTCTCTAGTCCCCCTGCTCCCATTCCTGCTTGAAGCTGCTCCAGGCAGCCTTCTGTCCCCTCATTCCACAGAACCTGCCCTTGGGAAGGCTACCAGGCCCTCCTTGTCGCCAAGTCCAAAGGCCAATCCTTGGTCCCCATCTGGCCTAGCCCATCAGCATCACTGGACACAGCTGAGCCCCCCTTCCCTTGGCTCTTCTCAGCCGTCATTGTCCCCCCTCCTGTGTCCCAGGCTCCCCCTCCTCTTGCTGGCCTCTCAATGCTGGAGGCCCCGGGCTCAGCCCTGGATTCTCTTCTCTACTGACACCAGCTTCCTAGCTGATCTCCCCTGGTCTTGGGGTTTTATGTCAACCACTCCCCAGTTTTTATCTCCAGCCTGGACCTTGCCCTTGAACTTTAGATTCTGATCTTCAACTGCTCTGTGTATGTCTAATAGGCTTCTCAAAGTTGACATGTCCAAAAATGAATTCCTGATTCTCCCACTCCAAACCCGCTTCTCTCCTGAAGTTCCTCATCTCATAAAATGACTAACTTCATCCTTCCAGCTACTTGGGCTAAAAACCTTGGAGTTATCCCTGATTTTCCTTCTTTCACACTCCACATCTAATCCATCAGCCCATCCTCTTGGCATATCCAGAATCTTCCTCCACACCGCCTGCACCACTACCTCAGGGCTTCAATCCGCCGTCATCCCTGGCCTGTTATGGCCGTGGCCTCCTAACTGGTCTATGTCCCCTTGTAGCCCTTCAACAAATGAGCCAGTATGACTCCCCCTTTCAAGAGACAAGTCAGATCACGTCTCTCCGCCCCAAACCCTGCAAAGCTGCTGTCTCCCTCAGAGCAAAAGCCGACGTCCTTTCTGTGGCCCACGAGACCCTCCATCACTCTGACCTCATCTCTAACCACCCCCCTCCCCATCTCCTCTATTCCAGCTACTCTGGTCTCCGCTCTTTTCCTGGACACGCCAAGTACGTTCCCATCGCAGGGCCTTTGCACATGTTCTCCCCGCTCGAAACACAAAGATCGTCTCGTGCTTTCCTCCTTCCCTCCCCGATTTACTATTCCCCACAGATTATTATCACCTGCCCACACTGTACGTTTACTTGTTTATTTGCTAATTTCCTGCCTCTCACACTAGAGTATAAGTCTCGTGAAGATAAGGACTTTGCTTTGTTTCCTGCTGTGTCCCCAGCACCTAGAACAGTGCCTGGCACATCACAGATGCTCAGTAAGTATCTGCTGAGTGAGTGAGTGCGTGTCTATGTACCACACACAGCCCAATGCTCCCTGCTCCCTGGGGGTCAACCATCCCCTGAACCAGGGGGTCCAAAGGACACACACGTCTCTCTCCCAGCCTGGACTAGCCTTAGAGATTTCAAACCATTGTGTAGGGTCTTCCCACCCTTCAGGGTACCTGATGATGCAGGCATAAAACACACCTTCTCTGGTACGGTTGCAACCATCACATGCGCTGGAAGAAAAACCTAAAAGGAGGCAGCATGGAGACCAGGGCTCTGCCCAGACTCCCCGAGCCAGGGCCCCAGGAACCTGGCCAGAATTCTCTGCTGGGTCATTGCAAACAGAAAATGAGGAGAGAAAGAAACTGACTCTAGAGCACATGTGTTTGTTTGTTTCTGAGGGTTACAGAAAAATTAGGTTATGGTTATTTAATGCTTTCTGGAATTTCACGGGGTGTGGAGATCAAGGTGGCCTCACTGTAAACTGCACATAGAGGACACTGAACAAACAGCAGATCTAATAAACCCCATCAGAGCTGTTAAATAAACTAAGAGAAAGGCCTTGGGAAGGAGCAGTTGAAACACCTGGGCCTTTAAGAGGCGGGGGTTTGCTCTGGGCTACAGACAGAATCACGATGTCTATATACTCATAAGATTATCTTATGTATCTTATGTATAATCATAAGATTTATAGGAGAGTTTCAGGGAAGATATTTTCCATTTCAATATATGAAACAGTATTTGTGTACTCTGTAGGCAGTCTTGAGCATTACTTTATTAACATTTTATGAGAGGGACTTCCTTGGTGGTCCAGTGGGTAAGACTCTGCACTCCCAATACAGGGGGCCCAGGTTTGATCCCTGGTCGGGGAACTAGATCCTGCACACATGCCGCAACTAAGAGTCTGTGTGCCACAACTAAGTGTCCCCATGCTGCAACTAAGAGTCCACGTGCCGCAACTAAGACCTGGCCCAGCATGCACGCATGCATGCATGCATGCATGAATGAATAAATAAATAGGGCTTCCCTGGTGGTGCAGTCGTTAAGAATCTGCCTGCTAATGCAGGGGACATGGGTTCGAGCCCTGGTCCAAGAAGATCTCACATGCTGCGGAGCAACTAAGCCCGTGTGCCACAACTACTGAGCCTGCGTTCTAGAGCCTGCCAGCCACAACTACTGAAGCCCATGTGCCTAGAGCCCATGCTCCGCAACAAGAGAAGCCACCACAATGAGAAGCCCACACGCAGCAACGAAGAACCAGTGCAGCCATAAATGAATGAATGAATGAATGAATGAATAAATAAATAAATAAAAGATTTTATGAGAAAATATAGTACTCTTCCTGAAATGCTTTTCTGAATTACTCAGCAAGGGTGCTCCTTATTACATTTTGGGACGAGGTTTTTCTTGGGAGAAGACACTGCCCAGTTGGTAACGGAAAAGGGGACTTTTGAACTGCTTTCTGAAAGGCACTGCCCGCGCGCAGTGCAGCGCCCGGAAGCCTGCAGAGTCGCTTACCCATCTGCCTGCGGTGCACCACCCTGAAGTTCTTATGCTCCGGCATCGGGGCGGCCTTGCTTCTCCTGCTTCCTAGGGAAGGCACACAAACTTTGTCTAAGGTCTCCATGGAACAGCTTCTTCTTGGTCCTTGCGTGAGGAGACCAGGCCTCGGCTCTGGAGTCCCTCTGGGAGAAGCCACGGAAGCATGGGAAGGACTCTCTGCGGGCTGTTCCTGGGGAGGCCGGTAGAAGTCATCTTCTGAGATCCAGCTCGTGCTTTTCTATTGGGAAAGAAGTAAAGACAGGTTGTTTTTAAAAACATCTTTATTGAGACATGATTCACATACCATAAACTCAATGCATCGAAAGCATGTAATCCAGTTTTCGTGTCTTCACGGAGTTGTGCAACCATCACTACAATCTGGGTGTAGAACATTTTCACTGCTTCATAAGGAAACCTCGTCCTCATCAGCAGTCACTCCCTGTTTCCGCTCAACCCCCCCAGTTCTCGGCAACCAATAACCTACTTTCTGTTTCCAGAGGTTTGGCCATTTTGGACATGCGTAAACGAAATTTTATAACATGCGGTCTTTTGAAACTGGCTTCTTTTCCTTAGCGTAATGTTTTCAGGGTTGATCTATGGTGTGGCATGTATCAGTACTTCATTCCTTTTTATTACCAAATAGTATTCCAACATATGGATGTACCACATTTTGCATATCCACTCATCAGCTGACGGACGTTTGGGTTGTTTCCACTTTTTGGCAATTATGAATAATGCTGCAGGGAACCTTGACATACAAGTTTTTCTGTGGACACTCGTCTTCTGTTCCCTTGGTACATACCTAGGAGTGGAACTGATGGGTCATATGATAACTATGTTGAACTTCTGAAGAATTTCCAAACTGTTTTCCTAAGTGGCTGCACCATTTTACATTCCCACCAGCAACATATGAGGGTTCCAATTTCTCCACCACCTCTCCATCATTTGTTATTATCTGTATTTTTGATTATAGCCATCCCATATGGCTGTAATAAGAAATGCAATCCTATGGTTTTGATTTGCATTTCTCTAACATCTAATGACACTGAGCATCTTTCCATGTGCTTATTGGTCATTTGTATATTTTCTTTGGAGAAAAGTCTATTCAAATCCTTTACCCATTTTTAAATTGGTTTACTTGTCCTTTTGTTCTTGTGTTATGGGTTGAACTGTGCTCCACCCCCCAAAAAAGATATGTTGAAATCCTAACCCTCAGTACCTCAGAATGTGACGTTAGGTGACAGAATGTGAAAACAGGGTTGCTGCAAATGCAGTTAGTTAAGATGAGGTCATACTGGGGTAGGGTGGGCCCTTCATCCAGCGTGACTGATGTCCTTATAAGAGGAGAAAAGACACACAGAGAGAGAACACCACGCGAAGACAGAGACACAGAGGGAGGCCACCATGGGATGACGGAGGGAGGGCCTGGAGTGATGCGTCTACAAGCCAGAGAATGCCCAAGATTGCTGGAGACACGACACGTTAAGAGAAAGGCGTGGAACAGATTGTGCTTCAGAATCTCCAGAAGGAACCAATCCTGCCTCCATTTGGATTTGGACTTCTAGCCTTCAGGATATCAGATACAGTAGTTCCCCTTTATCTGTGGTCTCACTTTCTGCGGTTTCAGTTACCCACAGTCAACTGTGGTCCAAAAATATTATGTGGAAAATTCCAGAAATAAACAATTCGCAAGTTTCACACTGCGTGCATTCCGGGTAGTGTGATGAAGTCTTGCACCGTCCTTCTCCATCCCGCCTGGGCCGTGAATCATCCCTTTGTCCAGTGTATCTCACCCATTTGTCACTTACTTAGTAGCCCTCTTGGTTATCAGATCTCCTGTCATGGTATCACAGTGCTCGTGTTCACGGAACCCTTATTTTACTTAATAATGACCCCAAAGCACAAGACTAGTGATGCTGGCAATTCGGATCTGCCAGACAAGCCGTAAAGTGCTTTCTTTAAGTGAAAAGGTGAAAGTTCTCAACTTAATAAGGAAAGAAAGAAATTATATTCTGAGGTTGCTAAGATCTACGGTAAGAATGAATCTTCTGTGAGACTGTGAAGAAGGAAAAGGAAATTTGTGCCAGCTTTGCTGTTGCACCGCAAACTGCAAAAGTTATGGCCACAGCATGTGATAAGTGCTTAAAGGCATTAAATTTGTACAATAAGATATTTTTTTTGGGGGGCAGGCCACATTCACATAACTCTTATTACAGTATACTGTTATACTTGTTCTATTTTATTATTTGTTATTGTTGTTAATCTTTTACTGTGCTAATTTATAAATTAAACTTTATCATTGGTATGTATGTATAGGAAAAAATACACTATACATAGGGCTAGGTACTATCCATGGTTTCAGGCGTTTACTGGGGGTCTTGGAACGTATCCACTCAGATAAAGGGGAACTACTGTAATACATTTCTGTAGTCTCAAGCCATCCATTTTATGGTCTTTTGTTATAGAAGCCCTAGGAAACAAACACAAGTTACAGTGTTTTTTTAAATATTCTGGACACTAGGCCTTTGTCAGATACATGATTTGCAAATAACTTCTCCAATTCTGTGAGCTGTCTTTTTACTTTCTTGATGTTGTCCTTTAAGGCACAAAATTTTTAAATTTTGATGAAGTCCAATTTATCTATTTTTCCTTTTGTCTCTGTGCTTTTGGTATTGCACTTAAGAAACCATTGCCTAAGCCAAGGTTACAAAGACTTACTCCTATGTTTTCTGCAAAGAGGTTTACAGTTTTAGCTCTTACATTTAGGTCTACAATCAATTTTGAGTTAATTGGTTTTTAAAAAGAATTAATGAATTTTTGGCTGCATTGGGTCTTCATTGCTGTGCACGGGCGTTCTCTAGTTGCGGCGAGTGGGGGCTACTCTTTGTTGTGGTGCGTGGGCTTCTCTTGCTGCAGAGCACGGGCTCTAGGCGCGTGGGCTTCAGTAGTTGCGGCATGCAGGCTCAGCAGTTGTGGCTTGCGGGCTCTAGAGCGCAGGCTCAGTAGTTGTGGCGCACAGGCTTAGTTGCTCCGCGGCATGTGGAATCTTCCTGGACCAGGGCTCAAATCCATGTCCCCCGCATTGGCAGGCGGATTCTTAACCATTGCGCCACCAGGGAAGTCCTGAGTTAATTTTTGTGTAGGGCGTGAGGAAGGGATCCACCTTTATTCTTTTGCATGTGGATATCCAGTTGTCCCAGCACCATTTGTTGAAGGGATGTAGGGTTTTTCAGCACTGCTTGTAGGGTTTGAGATGAGGGAGGCGTGGGTGAGCAGGACCCAGAGACCTCACTAGCTCCCTCTGCCTCTGCTCCCCACTTCTGAACAGGCCCCTGCGGCTCCAGGCAGCCAGGCCCTAGCCCTTCCCTTCTGTTGCTGTCTCTCCGAGTCTGAAGTTGCTCACTGGCTGAGGAAAGTGGGTGGCTCTGGGGTCAGGAGGCTTGTAGGAATGGACTCTGCCTCCTTTTCTTCACTATTTCAAGTGCTCCCTGCCTTTCCGTGCCTAAGTGTGGAAGAGCAGAGGTGAGGAAGCTGGCTGGGCGCCTAAGTGGCTGTCTACACAGAGGAAATGAGTCACCTGAGAGGTGGGACAGCCCAGCTGTTTTGTTAAGTGCCACCGACCTCATCCTGATGTTGCTATTTCCACCCCCTAAATTAAGACTGCCCTCCCTGCTCCCGCAGACAGGGAATGGGGGAGCAGGGCTTGGAGCTACCCAGAATGCCCGGAAGGATTGGTTTGGACAGTTTAATCCATTAAGATGCTGCCAAATTTTCTGAGTCAGGAGCTTGGAGGTGGGCGGGGGGTGGGGGGGCTCACAGAGCTGGGCCTCCAGAGCTTCCTCCCCAAACCCTCAGATTGGCAGGTGCTTCCTTCTGCCAGTGACAGGACAACGTGTCAATCAGGGTGACTGCTAGGGACTATTTACAGCTCTGAACAAAGCCTGTCTAAGTCATCATGACCTAGGGGAACTCCCCAGGGAAAATGGGCTGGAGGAGCAATCACATGGCTGTCCAGGCCACCTCCTGGAGCCTGGCACACACACCTGGGAAACCCTGCAACGCTGCAGCCCCGGATAATGGCCCTAACGGGAGAGACCACTCTCCCTTGAGGCTCAGCTCAGGGGTCATCCATCGCCTTCTCCTGGAAGCTGTCCTTACTCACTCACCCCCAGCTGGGTTTGGGACCCCTTCTGGGCTCCCATGGCATTCTGTGTTCACCCCCATCCTAGCACCTACAAAGTTGTTTCGAATGGTCATCCTTCTTTGTGCCGGGCACAGAGCTATAAAAGATGAGGGGATACACCTTGACTATCCAACTATCTTTAACATAAAGTAACACGGATGGGGTGAGGAAGCAAGGCAGGAGACAGATGTGGATTTTGAGATGGTGTAGGCTCACTGGTGAGGGCCTCTCTCTCCTTGGAGATGTTCACACCTGGTCCAGTGGCCCCAGGTCGGCCACCAGGAAGTGATACTCTAGGTAAAACCTTTTGTTCTCTTAAGCAATAGAGAAAAACAGCAGGAATACTGGGTCCTTGGAGCTTCTGCACATGGGCCTGGACTGAGCTCTGTGGCTGTGCCCCCCTCCAGGACCCCCAGTTATTACACGGAGCGGGGGAGAGGGCAGCACACCACTGTTTCCCCTCCCCCACTAAACCTTCCTGCCTCCTGCTCATTCAGGGCCCCATATCTGGCCCGTTCGCTGCCCCTTTAACAGTGGGGGGAAATCACCAATGACCAAGGATCTAAGCCAGAGCAGCACCTGCCACCAGGACCCAAGACAGAAGAATGCCCCTTGGAGTTACTACAGGGACCAGGACACTGTGTACAACAGCTAAGTCCCAGAGAGGGGACTGGCAGAGGAGTGGGACGTCAGGTCTCTGGACCACTTTCAAAAAATCCCTTTTGTTCAGTCTGTCCTCATTATGTCAGGCCAAGGGACTGCCTGTTCCCCCTCCTGGGGGAGGGGACCACATGCCAGAGGCCAGTGGTCCATGAGGGCAGTGATTAGGGCCAAGTCTTAGAATTCAGACTGTCCTCTGGGAGTTAAACTGAGAAACCAACTCACGCCCTTCCGGATGCCACAGAGTCACCCTAGTTTCCCCACTCCTGTCCTTCCCAGCACTTATCACCAGTGTAATTATGATGCAGATAGTTATTTGTCTAACATAGTGTCTGTCCCCAAGGAGCAGAGCCTTTGTCCTGTTGCATCGCTGTACCAAGTGTAGTGCTTGGCCC